AGAGGACCGAAAGAGAAGAAAAAAGACGCGCCCTCGAAACAATCAAGAAGACTTTTGACGATGTACCAAACCAGTCAATCACATCACCAGCAGCGTCCACTGCAACTGTGTCGAGGTCAATATCAAGATCCGAACCGGAATCTCTGCCTGGTCGAAAGAGCAGTATCGCTCCTGTATTTCAGAGTACAATGGCCTCTCCCATGGCCTCTGCATCTACGAGTATTCCTTCGTCTATAGCACTACCACAAAGCCCAGAGGCCAGCAAGACCAGTTTGGCAATGAACACAACACAGCCGGACAAGTTCAAGGGAATCAGAGATCTGGAAGAAAAGGACCTCGCTGCCATGGTCGAGGCCGGCTCGGGCACAGGCCGTAAACAGGGTCTCCTTTGGGCTCTCAGCAGACCTGGGAGCCATGTAGATCCAAAGGGTTTGAACAAACAAGCCTGGCATAAGTGAGTCTCCGTGCATCGTGTTACCACAAAGTCGAAATCATACTGATATGCCCAGGTTCTGGATTGTCCTTGATCAAGGCAAGCTTTCAGAATATACAAACTGGAAGCAGAGCTTAGAACTGCACATGGATCCTATTGATCTTCGGATGGCCTCAGTGCGCGAAGCACGTAATGCTGACCGTCGGTTTTGCTTCGAAGTCATAACTCCGCAGTACACAAGAGTGTATCAGGCTACCAATGAAGATGACATGAAGTCTTGGATCAACGCTGTCAACAACGCTTTGCAAACAGCTGTCGAGTCTGCGGGGCAATCTGATAGGCCGTCGACTGATTCGTTGCCTGGGCAAACCCACCGAGATATTGCATCAGTACTCACTGGCAAGAGTCCTTCCATGTCGAGCCACCGCAACAATTACAGCTCCAAGGCCCCTGCTCGACATGCCACAGTCGGGGATCGGCCTGGCGGCTATCGCCGAGATGAGGCGCCTGGGGACGATGGAAAGTTGCTGAAGCAAGTGCGCGACGCAGATGCCAGCAATAGAGTGTGTGCGGACTGTGGCACCGAGATCAAGGTCGACTGGGTGTCTATCAACCTCGGTATTGTCATCTGCATCGAGTGCAGCGGCATTCATCGGTCGTTAGGCACACATATCACAAAGGTGCGCTCCTTGACACTGGACGTCACTTCTTTCACTCCCGATATCATCGAGATACTCCTCAAAGTTGGTAACCGCATCAGCAACTCCGTCTGGGAAGCCAAGCTAGATCCTGGCAAGAAACCTGGGCCAATGTCAACGCGCGAGCAGAGACTTCATTTTATCACATCAAAGTACGCAGAGCGAGCGTTTGTAGCGCCAATATCGCCAAGCATGTCACACTATGCGAATCCAGAGGAGACGCTACTAGCGTCTGTTAAGAAGAACGACATCCAGAATGTGCTCTATGCACTGGCATTGCGGGCCAACCCTAATGCGCGTGATCGCTCACGAGGCACTCATGTTGTATTTCTAGCACTTGCAGCAGCGGACCCAGCATCACCATCGGCCTCGGCATCACCAGCGACCTCACCGGGCATACCTCCACGGCCGGGCACAGCACAAGCCTCACGGAAAGCTTTCCCTGTGGCAGAATTACTGTTGCAAAATGGCTCAGAGTTGCCCATGACGCCCGCTCCTATCCCGCTGGGTCACTCAGCACGAGCATACCTTGACTTCAAGGCGGACCAGCGTGCAGGCAAGCTCCCTGCGCCCATGGCAAACAATCAGGCGTCTTCTAGTGCAGAAAAGATCCCGCCTCTACCACCAATTCAAGCCGGGAATGGTAGCTCACCATCGGAGAGAGCGCGAGAACGAGAGGCGCGAATGCAGAAGCGGGTATCTGCAGGTGGAAGGTTGGTCAAGAGTCCAAACCTGGATGCAGCCGAAGGTAAGCGCGGCTTACAAGGATAGCCGATGCTCATGTATTTGTGATCTTCTAGTGTATACCTTCCCTGGGTGGCGTGCGGTTTTGTGCGATGGGCGTCGACCGGCTAAGGTGCGAGTACGGATAGACGCAGAGAAACGACGGAGGCCATTTAGCGATATTGGATTGGGCGTGTTGCCTCTGCCTTTGGATATGCAGAAATCGATTTCTATGCAACTGTTCTCGTTTGTTTTTGTTTTTGTTTTTGAATTGCATATTGTATCATGGCGCAGAGTGGTTGTCTGAACTTGTACTATCCTAATGACTATCAGGTCGATGTATGTAAAGAGGCCCGTGCGACCACCCCCACTAGCGCGCACCAAAATTACCGTCAAGTCGCCAAAGTCACCCCCGCAGGCACATTATTACCGCCATCGACACGCACGCACAGGCAGCAATCATGGCCTCGGCATACTCGAATCTGCCCATGGACGGCGACGATGAATTCGACGAGAGCCAAATCGACTTTACCGACATTGAAGAGCAGTTCCAGGTCCGACTGGATGAGGGGCTTGATGCCTTTGTCGTAATTGATGGACTGCCAGTGGTGCCCGAGGACAGCAAGGGCAAGCTGATCAAGTTCGTGCTGCGCAAACTGAACAGCGTGGGCAAGGTCAAGGACGATGGTGTACACATGCCCGTAAACGACTCAGGCAAGACGGAGGGGTACGTTGATTTCGACATGCGCACCGCGCACATTCGCAGACGGTGACCAAGGCACTGACGGCGACACAGATATGCCTTCGTCGAATACAGCGCACCCGCCGAGGCTGTTGCAGCCGTCAAGCAGCTCCACGGCACTCCACTCGACAAGAAGCACACCATGGCCGTGAACAAACTCACTGACATCGACCGCTACGGCAAGGAGGGCCGTATTGATGAGGAATACCACCCACCCGAGATTCCTCCGTTCGAGCAAAAGGAGCACCTGAGGTGGTGGCTCGCAGACGAGGACAGCCGCGACCAAATCGCCATGTACCGTCAGGACAGGGTTGGTGTTTACTGGAACGAGAAGGAAGATCAGCCCGAGCAGGTTGTTGACCGTGAGAACTGGACAGAGTCCTTTATCCAGTGGTCGCCACAGGGTACTTACCTCACTTCTATGCACGCTCAGGGTGTGCAACTGTGGGGAGGCAAGTCATGGAGCAGGCAAAAACGATTCGCGCATCCCGGTGTCAACCTTGTCGACTTCTCGCCCGGTGAGAAGTACCTCACCACCTGGTCGCACCGCCCACTCCAGGTTGACGAGAACCACCCCGTCCCATCTCTCTCGCTCGAAGAGGATGGCAAAAACTACATCATTTGGGACATTGCCACTGGCAAGCCCCTGCGTTCTTTCGCTACCATTGATGTCCCTGGTGGCACCGATGGTGAAGGCAACCCCATCAAGAAGAAGCTGCAGTGGCCTACCTTCAAGTGGTCTTCGGATGACAAGTATGTTGCACGTATGACCCAGGGCCAGTCCATCTCCATCTACGAGCTTCCCCGCATGAACCTACTCGACAAGACATCAGTCAAGATTGAGGGTGTCATGGATTTTGAGTGGGCTCCCGCTACCCCACGCAGAGAAGGAATCAAGACCTACGAACAACTTTTCTGCTACTGGACTCCTGAACTCGGCAGCAACCCCGCCAAGGTCGGACTCATGTCAATCCCATCCAAGGAGGTCGTGCGTACCCGTAACCTCTTCAACGTTTCTGACGCCAAGCTGCACTGGCAATCAGAAGCCGCATATGTCTGCGTCAAGGTTGATCGCCACTCCAAGTCCAAGAAGTCGCTTGCAACAAACTTGGAAATCTTCCGCGTTCGCGAAAAGGGTGTACCGGTCGAAGTTGTTGATTCTATCAAGGACACTGTCATCAACTTTGCCTGGGAACCCAAGGGCAACCGTTTCGTGCTCATCACCACTGGCGAGGTTATTCAAGGCGCTGCCGTCGGCCCCAAGACCGCTGTTTCCTTCTTCGCTACCGAAAAGCTAAAGGGAGGAGCCGTTGGAAACTTCCGCCACATCCGAACCATTGACAAGAAGAATAGCAACGCCATCTACTGGTCGCCTAAGGGACGATTCGTTGTTGTCGCTGCTCTCCAATCGCAGCAATCTTTCGAGCTCGAGTTCTGGGACATGAGCTTCGACAAGCCCAAGGACGAGTCTGAGAAGGGTGACAAGGAGGTCAACGCCAACCTGCAGCTCATGGATACTGCTGAGCACTATGGTGTTACAGACATTGAGTGGGATCCTACAGGTCGCTATGTGGCTACCGTTGCTAGCGCTTTCCGTCACCGTGTATGTATAATGATTCGATTACTGTTTTGCTTTGCTAATGCTCTCTTAGATGGAAAACGGTTATCACCTGTATGACTTCAAGGGTCAACTTCTCCGGGAAGAGGCTATTGAAGGCTTCAAGCAACTTCTCTGGCGCCCACGACCCCCGACACTGCTCTCCAAGGAAGAGCAAGCTGAAATCCGCAAGAACCTGCGCAACTACTCCAAGATCTTTGACGAACAAGATCTTGCCAAGAAGAGCTCAGCCAACAAGGCTGTTGTGGAGGCCCGTCGCGAGATGCTGCAAGAGTGGCATGCATGGAGGGAACAGGTCACCCAGAGACTCCGCGAAGAAGGTGCAGACCTGGAACTGGCGTTCCTCAAGGGAGAGACACCTGGACAGGCAGAGGATGGTCACCAGGAGGAGATTGAGGAGATTGTGGAGGAGATTATTGAAGAGAGCGAAGAGGTCATCAACTAGGATGATGCGAGGACGTAGTGTGAGGCGGGCTGGACGTACATTAGATGAAACGATGGAAGTCAGTTTGCTGAACAAGCATGTGGTTATGAGACTTGTGACATCTGCTGTATATGTGCGTTGTTGAGTAACGTGGTCTGGACTGAAGGGTTGATGATTTCTGAGAAGTGTATAGTGAGCGATATCGAGGTGCTGAGCGAAAAATGTCGGACTGTTGGACAATGAACAAGATGTTTTGATATTAGAGCTGAATGCAAACATACAGGCATGTGTTTAGATGAAACAATCGCTATAGATGTAGTCAACATGTCCAACCATATGGCACCAAATAGAAAGACAGGACATCAACTCCACACCGACGGTCTCTTCCTCGACTCAAGCCTCTCCCTATACTCCCGACAACTAATCTTGATCCCCTCCTCCAACCCAACCTTCGCCTCATACCCAATCAATCTCCTAGCCTTCTCAACAGAAACATAGCAATCCCTACACCCTTCACTCACCATGCCGCGACTCAAATTCGCCTCTGACCCCATGGCCCACGCCGTCCACTCCGCCGCAATCCCCATCCAGCGCGCCAACACCACCGGCAACTGCACCTCAAACTTGGGTACATGACCGAACTCGCGCCAAATCGCCAAACAAAGCGCTCGCGCCGTAACCGGCTCATTGTTCGAAATGAACATTGCTTCCCCCGCCGCTGTGCGCGCGGTAGATAGCAAGTTCTCCAGCGCCAACACGTGCGCGTGCGCAACGTTGTCGACGTAGACGTAATCTTGCAGGTTCGTCCCGGGACCGAGGATAAAGGGGGTTTGGCCTGCGTCGATGCATGCGTGGATCGTCGGGATGCAGATGCGATCTGTGGGGCCGAAGATGGGGGCTGGACGTAACGCGGTGGTTGCGAAGGAGGGGGAGTTTGAAGATAGGACGAGGGATTCTGCGAGGGCCTTTTTGGCGGGGAGGGGGGGAAAGGGTGAGTGGTGGGTTTGGTTGTTGATTTGCAGGGGAAAAGGGTGGGAGAAGAAGAAGAGAAGGGGAGTTTTACAAGGGAAATATGGGGATAGAGGAAGGGATGTTTAACATACCTTACTCTGCCCGTAAGTCGTATCCGTGTTTCCCAGCGGCCACGTCTCATCTGCGTTTTTGAAATCCCGCGAGAAATCATCACAAAGTACGGCGATACTACTGGTGTACACAAACGCCTTGACGTCGTGCTCTTTACTCGCCTCTAGCACGTTCCGCGTGCCCTCTACATTCACTTTAAACACCGTGTCGCGGTCTTTCATGCTGTACCGCCGTGTGCCCACGTAGAAGATGCCGGCCGTGTGAATTACGGCTGTAGGCTTGGTTTCAGCGAATACTTTGGAGAGAGAGGGGACATCTAGAATGTCGCAGCGCGTATAGCGCACGCGTGGGTTGGAGCTGAAGGTTTGGGTGCCGAGGGATGGGAGGGAGATGTCGAGGGCGGTTATTGTGTATTTTGTAGTGTTGAGGAGGGCTGAGATTATGCTTGTGCCTAGGAAGCCGCTTCCGCCTGTTATTAGGATGTGAGGGGAATCCATTGCATAGGAAAGATAATTGCGAGCTTTGAAATGTGGTGGGTTTAGTTTGGCGGATCCAAGGGAAATGGGTTATTAACGGTGTTCTGGAAAGTCGCGGTAGGATCCTGGGAGTCTTGCCAGCTAAAAACTCTTTCTCCAATTGGTTTCTCCTTCTCTTTTAGTGATGATTCAATGTTTTGCTGAAAAGTGGGCGCGTGTAAGAAATCAAATGTTGGGTCTGTTATGATGAGGTTACAAGTAAGACCGCTGACCCGTTCGAGCCGGACCATCCTGCCGTCTCTCGCCTAACCCCATCAGGCTCGATGCGTATCCTTCAATGCGACTTTACATATGAAATCCGTGTTGTTATTTTATTTGAAATTTTATTGAAATGTTATGATGGTGCCGAGGTTCCTAACGTGACATTTATATCTGGCTAATACAGCACAGAATTGTGACGGCAGTATTGTTCACGTTGAGCGCCTGATAAACAAAAGTTATTTTTCCATTTCAACCAAATTTTCAAACACTACAAAAATTCACCACTCAACACCACAACAATGAAGTTGAACGAAAATGAGTGTATGCAATCTAAGATCATATGTTTTTCTTTCTTTGAAGTGCTAAACCCGTCCTAGGCATTCTTACCCCGCGCCTTCTCCTTGTGCCATACTGCTCACATCATGTCCTGACCTACCACCAATGGATGCAAGACGAAGTACATTATCCCCGCATTCATCCTCCAACCCCGTACTCTCTCCTTGAAAGATCAGTGGTATTAAAAAAAGTCTCTAGGACCTACAAAAGCTCACAGCATCTGAGCCCCTCACGCTACCAGAAGAGTACTCGATGCAAGAGTCTTGGCGACAAGATGCCGATAAACTGACGTTCATCATCTGCACAGCACCAGACCACTCAGCATGGGCTGAGAAGAAGCAAGTTATACCTGGACTGCAAGACGCGCCCGAGTGTATGATTGGAGATGTTGTAAGTTAACCCCACCACGCTTGAAAACAAATCCGTATAACACGTGAAAACGCTTAGAATCTCTTTTTGTATCCTTATGACGACGACGATGAAGACAACGTACAGAACGAAGAGAAGAAAAACAGCGAAGACTTCGTAGTCGGCGAACTAGAAATCATGATTGCCCAACCATCAGCTCGAGGAAAAGGCCTCGCACACGAAGCACTCCAAGCATTCATGTGGTACATTTCTTCCTCCCTACCCTCTCTCCTCGCAGAATACACACAACAAGATAAGCAAAGAAGAGCAAGCTTGCGCTACCTACGCGTCAAAATCGACAAAGACAACAAGCGCAGTCTGGCGCTGTTTGAGAAACTAGGCTTCAAGCATAGTACGGGCCCGAATTACTTTGGAGAACTGGAATTGAGAGCAAATATGCTAAATGGGGGTGCCAATATGGAGAATGTCGAGAAGCTAGTATATGGCTCTTCATAAGCGCAAAGAACGAAAGCTGGGTTCAATCTGGCCTCCATGGAGTGCAGAATTTCAGATTTGGTATCTAGATATGGGCAGGAAAATGCGAATTGTACAGAAAAGAAGAACGCCCTGAAAATGCAAAAAGATGCTTTTTTGCTCCGGGACTACGATTCTTCGTCTTCATCCTCATCTTCGTTTTCTTCATCAGCCGCGCCATTCATTAGGCTTTTCCGCGGCACTTCGAAAACGTAGATGCCGTTTTTGACTTTACCAGACATCCATCTTGCTAGTCTTGGTTCCTTGCCTACTGCTGCTACAATGCATAATCCGTCTTTACCCCTGTCGCCTCGTTCCTGTATTGAGAGTCCGTTGACGATACCTCGAATCAGAATTGGGCCATCTTCACTGTTGCCGTCCATTGTTGCATCCTCATCGAGAGGCACACGTCCCACCTTTCCGATCGGCTCAATACTCCTCTTGTCGTCGGTAATTTTCCAAGCACGTATCCAGCCATCCCAGCTCGCTGTAAGGACCAGATTGGCAAACGGCACCGTGGCGAGCGCGGTAACGTATCTTGGTAAACGCGGTCCCGGTTTGACCGAAGTAGTAGCATCGTGATTAGCTGACATTTCTTCTGGCGCAAGTGGTGGATCACGGCCATGCGTAAGCGGGTAGGTGAAAAGAGGCTTCTTCCTGGTGACCGACCACAACGAGAGGGCGCCATTATCGGAAGCTGTAACGAACAAGCTCGCGTCAAGGAGGCCAACGCAGTCAATAGAGCCTTCTGCGTAAGCAATAGGTGTATCGTCGTCGTCAGGGTGTGTGCTATTGGTCATTCCTTCCTTTGCATCTTCTCCGTCAACATTTTTGCCAAAGCGGCCTTTGCGCAGCTTATCCATGCCCTTTTGTCTTGCTGTACCACCGCCATGGAACACCAGCTGGTTCTCCTCGACAACCCTCCATAGACGCGCAGTGCGGTCTCGGGCACCGACACTAACACACGTCTCTTGATTGACCTCCAGTCCACCAGCAACCCCAATGACGGCGTCTTGGTGTCCCACAAGTGTCTCGATGTATGCAGACTCTGGTGCACTCCACACAATAACAGCGCGATCTGCTCCACCCGAAAACAATTGGTCGGTACCTCGTCGGAAAGAAAGCGAGAGGACAGCATCACGATGGCGAGTAAACAGATGGCGGGGCGTCAGAGTATCAGCATCCCAAATAATTAGTCGGGCATGCATGTCGCCAGTGGCCAGGTATTTTCCAGAATCCGATATGGCAATGGACACAATCTCGCCAGTGTGGCCTAAGTAGGCCCTGTCACCCTTCTTGTTCTTGTTGCCTTTGCGCCAGAGGAGTCGCTTGGGAGTTCTACGCGGTGTGATATTAGTTGGACGAGAAGCATCTGGCGCGTAGGATTTTGGGTCGGCAATCTCCCACTTTTCTACGACGAGGTCCTTGCTGACTGTCCACGCATAAGGTAGCTTGACGGCACAGCCTGTTATCGCCTTTTGTAGACCCGAGTAGCCAGCAGCATGCGATGCGCGCTCAAAGTCCAATTCGTCGGCGATGGAGCGGTAGATCTTTCCCTTGCCCTCTGCGACATCCTCCTTCAGTCGTTCTGCGATGAGGTCCTTGTCAATCTGCTCAGCGTCGAAGCCCACCTCTTGCTCGACCTCGCTGCGGATGTTTTCCAGATAGCGCTCTGCCAATCGGAGGCGCTTTTCGGCAGCCGTTTCATTCTCGTCCTCGGAAGTCTCGTCACTATCGTTCTCATCGTCAAAGATGGGTCCTTCGTCGTCGTCGGAGGCGTCGCTGCCGCTGATAGAGTCTTCTCGCTGGGCGCGGCGGGCATTGGCGTCGGTGTTGCGCCTCTTGGGAGCGCTGGATGTAGCTTCGGATCGCTTCCGTTTCCGCTGCGAGGCAGGGGTGGTGAAGAAGGAAGAGGACATGATGTCGAGGTGGTGGTTGTGGGCGACAGAGGCCCTTGGTGGATTCCAGATGCGACCTGAAAAATGGTCGGCCAACTTTTTTTCCAACGCCGACTGGGATGGGAGCTGCCACCGCCGCGGAGGTCTTGGCGCACGTGCACCTTGAGCGCGCTCGTTCCGCCGCCGCGTTGGGGCACATCATCGACTCCATCACCGCCATCATCGTCGTTTGTTACAAATCACCTTTGCTTTCCCGCCCCTCCTCGGTTCCTACTCCCCGGATCGAATCACTGCTCATATCCGGCTGTCACCCTCAGACAGAGGCACCCGCTGCGGCAAACCCGGCCGCTGTCCATCTACGCAGCACCGCCCTTCACTTATCCACCACCCACCCACAGAACATACATAGCCCACCATGAGTGGCAGTGGTGACCAAGAACGCGAGCATGCGCTCGAAGCCTACAAGTCCAAGCTCCTCGAGTCAAGAGAGTGGGAGGCCAAGCTCAAGGCATTGCGACTAGAGATAAAAGGTCTACAGCATGACTTTGACGTATCAGAGGAGAACATCAAGGCGCTCCAGAGTGTTGGTCAGATAATAGGCGAGGTGCTCAAGCAGTTGGATGAGGAGCGATGTACGTTGTATCAGAGACTCCGCCACCCTCAAATGCTAACCCGGTGTCTGCAGTCATTGTCAAGGCATCATCCGGCCCCCGCTATGTAGTCGGATGCCGGTCAAAGGTCGACAAGGCCAAGCTCAAACAAGGAACACGTGTTGCCCTCGATATGACAACCCTTACCATAATGCGCATGCTACCCCGCGAAGTCGATCCCCTCGTCTACAACATGTCGTTGGAAGACCCTGGCCAGGTCAGTTTTGGTGGAATTGGTGGTCTGAATGAGCAGATTCGCGAGCTCCGTGAGGTCATTGAGCTGCCACTCAAGAACCCTGAGCTGTTCCTGCGAGTCGGTATCAAGCCACCAAAGGGTGTACTGCTCTACGGACCCCCAGGTACCGGAAAGACGCTGCTGGCCCGTGCCGTGGCGAGCAGTCTGGAGACCAACTTCCTCAAGGTTGTTTCGTCGGCCATCGTCGACAAGTACATTGGCGAGTCGGCGCGTTTGATCCGTGAAATGTTTGGTTACGCAAAGGAGCACGAACCATGCATTATCTTCATGGACGAGATTGACGCCATTGGTGGTCGACGTTTCTCCGAAGGTACATCAGCAGATCGTGAGATTCAGCGAACCCTCATGGAGTTACTGAACCAACTGGATGGTTTCGACTACCTCGGTCAGACCAAGATTATCATGGCAACCAATCGACCAGATACCCTCGATCCCGCTTTATTGCGTGCTGGACGTCTTGACCGCAAGCTCGAGATTCCCCTGCCAAACGAAGTTGGACGTCTGGAGATTCTGAAGATCCACTCTGGAAGTGTTGTCACAGATGGTGAGATTGACTTTGAGAGCATTGTCAAGATGAGCGATGGATTCAACGGTGCCGATTTGCGCAACGTCGTAACAGAAGCGTAAGTACTCTTACTTGAACTAAGAAAAACAGACAATGAATACTAACATTTCCCAGCGGTCTCTTCGCTATCAAAGACTACCGAGACTCAATCAACCAGGACGACTTCAACAAGGCAGTCCGGAAGATGGCCGAGTCGAAGAAGCTCGAGGGCAAGCTAGATTACCAGAAGTTGTAGATTGGGATGCTAGTCACATTACGGCCGTGATGAGGGTAGAGCGATGGGCATCATGTACGATAGTACGGGACGATGACATGGCAATATTAATAAATAAACTGCCCAACTTCTGTTTGAATCTGCATGCATTATCACGTGGTGTACCTGAGTGACGTATGTTCACTAGCTTAGAATTTAAGACCGGCCATAGTAACGCACGTGACAGCGCGCTCTAGCGAAATGCAGGCCCGGCCGTCGAGTGTGTAGGACGATGTTGGGTAAACACGCCCACGGCATTTTCCTATAACACAATAGATATGGACGGATCGCAGTCGCCGACTAAGCCAAAGCGCTCTCGCGCCGAAATGGAGGCCGAAAGCAGCATATCTGCAAAGGAATCTGCAGCGCAGGCTCACGAAGGTACCATCAGCCCGTGTTGTATGCGCGCAACTCTCTCTAACACTATGTTGTGTAGATGATACATCTTCCGACGACGATGACTTTGGACCTGCCCTTCCTTCCTCTGCGCCGAAAAAGAAGAAACGCAAACTGCCGTATGAAAAGCTCTACGTTGCTGCGCTCCCTGGCGCAACCCGCTACTCCAAATCACTCATGCACCGCGAACAACTGTGCTTCACCACATTTACTCCCCACACCGACTTTCTCATCACCAGCTCCATCGATGGCGTTGTTAAGTTTTGGAAAAAGGTCTTTGGGGGAATCGAGTTTGTCAAAGAGTTTCGCGCCCACAGCGGTGAGATCAAGTCTGTCAATGTAAGCGCAGACGGTCGCAGCTTTGCAACTGCTGGTGCAGACAAGACTATCAAGATCTTTGATGTCATCACATTCGACCTGCTGGCTATGTTGACCTTGGATTATGCCCCTCTGGCTGTTTGCTGGCTGCATGGCCGAGGCGCAAGCTTCCCCCAATTAGCTGTCAGCTCGGAAGAGAACAGTTGGATCCGTATATACGATGGCAGGGGTGAGAATCCGGAGCCGCTACAGGTCTTGAAAAGTGTGCATAGAGCGCCTGTAAGTCTGATGGCGTACAATAACGACTACGATTGCGTGGTGAGCGTGGACCAAGGCGGCATGGTGGAGTACTGGAGGCCAAATGGAAATTATGAGAAACCAGACAATGTGTGGTCTTTGAAGAGCTCGACAAGTCTGTTTGAGTTCAAAAAGTCCAAATGCGTCCCTTCCTCGCTCACCATTTCGCCTACTGGCAAGCAATTTGCTACATTTTCGTTCCCTGACCGCAAGGTCCGCGTGTTTGACTTTGCGTCGGGAAAGCTGCACCGAACCTATGACGAATCCATTGAAACGATGGCGAGCATGCAGCAGGCCGGAACTGCGGTCCAGCATCTGGAAGACATGGAGTTTGGGCGAAGAATGGGCA